TCGTAACAGAACTCATGGTAGTATTAAGCATGTAATGATCACTCTTGATGTAAAGATCTTAGGGTTTAAAACAACAATCAAGAAGTGATTACATAATGCTATTCTTTGGTCAAGGTTCAGTGGCATAGCCAAGGGAGGGACACTTCCAGGGGTTCCAGAACCCCCCTTGGGCTTCAGCATGGGCTATAATTTCAAGAGGAGCGAGATTTTAGCTGTTAAAAAAAATGAGAAAAAAATCAATTAAAAAAAGCATCAAATTCTATTTCGAGGGTTACATATGAATACTATGAGGATGATCATACATTGTACGAGGCCTCAGTGTGTATACAAGCCTTCAAAGTGGGATTCAGCACCTTGTTGGTCTCGATCGTTTTCAGTTGCATGTTGTAATGTTTTGTCTATAAGAGGGTTTAATAAAAACTCGTGTAGAGGCATAGAGTGAGAAGGTAGAATGAAATCAGCATTGATGTTTGCAAATCAATGTGAGGAAATTGTCTGAAACTGGCACACTTAACACTAACAGCACGCCGAACTGCCTAAAACATACAGTATTCAATTATGGGTTCATCGCAAGATGCAGTGCCTTTTCCTTACATAAAAGCTACTCAGTATGAGGCTCTGAAAGCGAGACGTAAATGTCTCAGTAGACTACCATCACCCCTAATTTTCATGTGGCGGCTTTTCCGTTGGCAGCACAAGTGGCTCAACGCAGGAAAAATCCTTTCTAATAGTGCAGTTGAAAGCTTGGCCATGAATTCTTTTCAAGCTGCATATTTCAAGTACGTTACAAATTAGATCAGCAGAAACTGAGCGATGGCTCTGCACATTGGCAGACTTAAAAAGTAGTTGGCAGCAACCATGACTAAAGAGCAAGAGTCTGCTGCTCTTGCTCTGATGAACATTGGATAATGCAAATTGGCCCAAGTCCACCAATCGACACCTTTGCACGGATCGAAGCATCCATGATGTCTCGTTCTTGCTGATATCCTTGCTGAGTAAATGGCAAATCACAAGACTTCAGTGTGTGTTTTAATGTATTCAACGATTATCAACATATATGTTGTAGTTTATTTTTTATTTCAGGTAATTTTTATTTTTCTTTTCCTTTAACTTCATTAGCATACATTAGTATTTACCATACCCAAAAACAGAAGAAAAACAAAAATTACTTGAGATAAAAAATTATCAACAACGTAAGCAGGGGCACCGAACGGCAATTTTCGGGAAAATATCTGTTCGGAAGATGATTTGAGATCTAGAATTTTCGGATTATTTGTTGTAAAATTTCTTTCTTGCCTGCCTCTCCTAGGATTTTCGAACATCTTAAAAATGGTATAATTGCCCATTTTTTAACGGATTTTGACCCTAAAAGAGGCCACCTAGAATTTTCGGGAGCCTTTTCCTGGCTGAAATTTTCGAGAAGGTAAGTTTTTATCCCTATAATTTTCGGATGACTAGACTTTCAGCTAGGAAATCCGAACAGATGAAAAGTTTTTAGGGGATAAAAATATGCCTATATCTACCGTTTGAATACTAAAATACGTTCAACAATGCTATGTTAAGAGGTTTTGAACTATATCCTCGTTGGGTGCCCCTGCGTAAGTCCATCACACTATCTCTTCAAATAAAATTTTCCATGGGAGAATGCCTTATACCAGGAGCCCATGACCCATAGGCTCCTGCTTATGCCCCATGCCCTCCAAAGCTTGATTTTCAATCTAGAAAAAATATCACAGTAGAAACCCTTCTATGCAAAAATGTTTGCTACGCCCCTGAGGTTGACAATGTTAGTTTTGCAATGACATCAGAAAAATCAACCAAAAAAGTGTGATGCATATCCAGATTTTTTGTTCTGTTTATTAAATCTGTTTAATGTTTTTTTGTATTTACTAACTCTTGTCATCATTGTTGTGGGTTCTCTGGCTCCTATCAGTGTTGCCATGTAAAACAATTCTTGATATGCAAGTAAAAATTTTATTGAAAAATTAACTGACAAATGAAAAACACCTGAAGAAAGTGATGTCTGCAGTCTGTACCCATATAGGGACTCACTCACTCTAGTCCGTGTCATGTTGGGGGGGAGGGAGGGAGTGTAAAAATTGGCAAGTAGTTATCTACATTATACACTTCCACTGGAGAATAAGACTGAAGAAACGTCTGTGAAAGTGAATATTTTACTTCACCCTCAAGGTTTTACAGATACACTAATGCAACAAGAAAATAATTAACACAAATCCATGCAATCAAGCTTTTTATTTATATCTCAGCAGTGTCTCAGCAATATAGAGCTTGGTCCATAAAGGAAATAAATTTTACTAGAGAAGCACAAATTTCCTGTAGATAATTATATTTATCGTTTCTTTCTTCTTTTTCTACTCTTTAAAGATGGACACTTCACATTTCAGTGCACTTTACATAAGAATGGTACAATATGGTTCGCATACAAAGAGGTAAATTATGACTCATCCTCCATAGCAGTTGTCTTAGTAAATTAGGGAAAATTACTGTTTCCTTGAATCATCATTGAAGCTTATGGATGTCCAGATTAAACCTGAGTTTTGTTTTTAGCGATTATAGAAAGGGAAAAATAGAACAGTAAACCTTATAAATAGCTGAATGCCTAGCTCCTATAGACATTAGGACTTTAACTGAACCCCAGTGAGGTGAAAACATGAATTAAGCACCCAACTTAAAAGATTATTCTTAATCTGCTAATAATTAGATGAAATTCAATTTATTTTTAAAATTTCTCACATCGTTTGAAATATGGAAGCTCATTGACCTGTGGGAGTGTGTTGATGACTCATAATGCACGAATTTCATGCATACTTACATGTAACATAAGACTATAATTTTATCTTTTCATTTACATATGGACCTTCCTACTATAAAAGCCTATTTGAAGTTTCTCAGATTTTTTAATGCCGTTATTTGGCCATAAGGCATACATTCTTTTGAAATTTGCTGTAGCTGTTGTTGTTTAATTGTCACTCTCTTGAAACAATACGAGCCAATTCTGCTTAACTGTTAAAGTTAACTACAGTCAACTCCCGGTAACTCAAACCCTCTATAACTTGAACCTCCCACTAACTCGAAACAATTTTCATTTCCGTTCAGATAGTTTTCTGTATAATTTTACCCTCAATACCTCAAACTTTTTTCTATTTCCCTTGAAGGTTCCAATTATCGGGAGCTGACTGTATGTTTTATGACTGTTATGACTGTTTCACATTATTGTGGGTCCATAATTGTCATGTTACATTTACTTATCGCACATATTAAGTATTTCTATTCATAATATCACGGTGGTTAGCTCGAAAGCTAGGCTCCTCTGACCACCATACACTTCTATCAAAGCCATTAATTTTTTCTTTTTTTTTTTCCCTCTTGTTTGTTACTTTATTCCTTGTCGTTACTATTATACAATGTAAATGTTGTAGATAACTAACTAAACTGAACTGAATTAAAAACCATTGCAGTTTGACTATTATTAAATCAGCAAATAAACACACCTATATAACTGGAAACAGATTGTGAAAGTCAAATAGTTACGTCAACAAATAATTGAGGAGTGATGAAAATTGAGCAGTGTTTTGTTATAGCTAATGTATCGGTCAAATCGAAGCTTCAACATCCCCCAGGTAGGGGGGAATTTGAACAATAATTTTCAAAAAGTCAAATGCCCGGGGGTTTGCCCGGGGGGGATGTTGAAGCTTCGATTTGACCGATACATAACCATAGTGACTATGTTACAGATCCCAGTTAATGTGTCAAGCATTCCTGATGTACGATACCACCCCGTGAGAGTAGGCATATCCGATGCATTTGTAAGATATTACCGACATTTAGGGAGGCCTGGAATCATCTACCGAGTCTTTCATATATACAGTCAAGTGAATATTACCAAGAACAGTGTTGTCAATGGATCAGCAGTGGTGTTCCACCCTCAAACAAGTTTGTTCTTTTTAAAAGTTTTATTACTGTAATCTAATAATTTTTAGCTGTGAATGACCGAGCGGGAGGTCTTTATGGGAGAATCTTGACGGAGGTTACCAGTACAGACCGAACACCGTGAGGTCTGTACCAGCGACCGAGGTCAAGATTCTCCCATACAGACCGACCTAGCTCGTTAAGAAGATGTTTATTATATGGCCAAACAAGAAAGCAAAGGAACAAAAACATAAATAATTTTATTTGCTTCCCTGCGCGGGCTCAAGCATTTAGCTGGCTTTCTTCTGTCACTGGTCTCCAGTCCAAACGGAACAAAAATAGCTGTTTAAAGTCCAGCTTTGTACAAACTTTGTACAAACAAGCCAATCTTTTCACATTCTTTGTTTGTAACTTTTTGAGGAGAACTGTTACAACAAGATCGGTTTAGATGCCGGTGTGGATGGGAAAAACTAAACCGCGGTCAAGATCGAATTCTTGAGTTTGTTTGTTTCCAGTCCTTTTGAGACATGCCCATATAATAATAAGTGATACAGTGCAGTCCTAATTTGTTTATGCAAGAAGTAAAATATAATTTGCAAGCCATTTCCTGACCAATATACTGATTATATCTAAAGCTTTCCTGGCAACGCAGTCTTGTGAGCTTTAATTTTGATAAAAAATTTGGTTTTCAGACTGTGTGAGTAACCTGCAGCTTAACCTTGGGTTCCATGCTGTGTGGGTAAACTGTGACTGACGTAATTGTTTTCATTATACTGTACTTTCCTTTCAGGCTGTGTTAATGCCACCTCATGTACAGAGTGTATGAAGCGGAAGCAAACAACAGAATTTGACTGTCAGTGGTGCCCGCAGACTAAAAGGTAGAAATTGTCTTTGGAAAGCTAAAATTGTTAAGTCAGAGCCGACTAAAAAGATGTTTCACCTGAAGAGAATACAGTCCCAGAGATTGACCGTGCAGACCATTTTTGTTTTATCGTGCATGGATGTGTCACTTCTCAAAACTATAGAAGAGTAAAGAAATGGATAGCAAGTATTTACTGGCAGCAGCAGGCATGTGCTGCAAGAGCATGACTGTCACGTAAACTTGGGTCATGGCCATGTATCCCTTGGAAAACTGCTTTTTGGCGGGAAACTGGCCCGGTTCAGAGGCTGTACTTCACATCAGCCGAATCGATTCAGACCCTGATTTTTATTTTCAACGAACAACGGGGAAAAACGTGCATTTTGGTAAACTACATTACAAGAATTTATGTTTGGCTCATGTGAATTTCGGCGAATGAATCAACGCCGGTCCACAGCTCTTTTAGTTCAATCCGATTTGGCTCACATGATTTCCTTTTAATATAACAAACATGATCTAAGACTGCTAAACAGTCTGTCAGTCAAACTAATTTCTATTGGTGGTTTAAGATAACATTGTTAATTACAATGGTCACTCTTAAGCTTAACCCTTTAATAGTTCAGTGTAGATGGTCACGTTCTTACAATAATCTTGCAATATTTTGAAGGTGCTCTGATAAAACAGATCGTAATCGTGCAGAATGGGACCTCAATGGGTGCAGTCAAAATGCCGTCAATCAGGTATTACTTACTAGTTAAAACATGTTACACTGCCACCAAAATGCCGACAAACAGATTAAGATATTACAACTGTTACGAGTTAGACCATTTTAAACTGCGACCTAAATGCTGTCAAACAGTTTTTCCTGCTACCGTCATTTAGCTCCGTTTTCCTTGTGACAAGTTTTATACCTTCCTCTGGAAGCTTAACCTGTATTAGGCGGACATCTACAAAACCCTCCTTGTAAAGTTTTGTATTTTGTTTGTCCATTCCGTTTTGTGCGTTTGTATGTCGTCTTAATAGATGTGTTTTCTTAAATTACATGTACACGTTGCTTTTTGGTTTATCGGAGGGACTTGTACAAAGTCGTTTGCCCTTACATACAGAATGAGCACTGAAGACAGGTTTCACTATACGTAACGAGCCCGAAGGCCACATGGCAAACAGCCTGTACATACTTGCGGGACTCGAAAAACTTCCGACCGTTAGTCCGGCAAGAGTAGATTTTCGTGCTGGGCAGGTAACTTTTAAAGCTCCTCACCTTCCAAGTGGGCAAAAATCGAGGCAGGTTATCCTTCCGCAACTAAATCATTCACTGAAACAATCAAGACTAACAGGCCCCAGGCATCTTAGCAAAATGCCGCCGGGAGAGTTGGCTGCTTAAAGACCTTAAAGGACGTGCTGTAAGTCACGTTTTTTTCTTTAATATGGCCCTTTCCTCGAGTATAATTTGTGTACTGTTGTTTTCATTTGTTTTTTGATATCAGCCGTCAGATGAGAGATGCGTGGCAGGTACCGAACGGTACGGTACGTTTCAGGCTGTATTAATAACCGAGCAGGAGGTCTTTATGGGAGAATCTTGACGGAGGTTACCAGTACAGACCGAACACCGTGAGGTCTGTACCAGCGACCGAGGTCAAGATTCTCCCATACAGACCGACCTAGCTCGTTAAGAAGATGTTTATTATATGGCCAAACAAGAAAGCAAAGGAACAAAAACATGAATAATTTTATTTGCTTCCCTGCGCAGGCTCAAGCATTTAGCTGGCTTTCTTCTGTCACTGGTCTCCAGTCCAAACGGAAAAAAAATAACTGTTTAAAGTCCAGCTTTGTACAAACTTTGTACAAACAAGCCAATCTTTTCATATTCTTTGTTTGTAACTTTTTGAGGAGAACTGTTACAACAAGATCGGTTTAGATGCCGGTCTGGATGGGAAAAACTAAACCGCGGTCAAGATCGAATTCTTGAGTTTGTTTGTTTCCAGTCCTTTTGAGACATGCCCATATAATAATAAGTGATACAGTGCAGTCCTAATTTGTTTATGCAAGAAGTAAAATATAATTTGCAAGCCATTTCCTGACCAATATACTGATTATATCTAAAGCTTTCCTGGCAACGCAGTCTTGTGAGCTTTAATTTTGATAAAAAATTTGGTTTTCAGACTGTGTGAGTAACCTGCAGCTTAACCTTGGGTTCCATGCTGTGTGGGTAAACTGTGACTGACGTAATTGTTTTCATTATACTGTACTTTCCTTTCAGGCTGTGTTAATGCCACCTCATGTACAGAGTGTATGAAGCGGAAGCAAACAACAGAATTTGACTGTCAGTGGTGCCCGCAGATTAAAAGGTAGAAATTGTCTTTGGAAAGCTAAAATTGTTAAGTCAGAGCCGACTAAAAAGATGTTTCACCTGAAGAGAATACAGTCCCAGAGATTGACCGTGCAGACCATTTTTGTTTTTTATCGTGCATGGATGTGTCACTTCTCAAAACTATAGAAGAGTAAAGAAATGGATAGCAAGTATTTACTGGCAGCAGCATGCATGTGCTGCAAGAGCATGACTGTCACGTAAACTTGGGTCATGGCCATGTATCCCTTGGAAAACTGCTTTTTGGCGGGAAACTGGCTCGGTTCAGAGGCTGTACTTAACATCAGCCGAATCGATTCAGACGCCGATCAACGCCGATCTTTATTTTCAACGAACAACGGTGAAAAACGTGCATTTTTTGGTAAACTACATTACAAGAATTTATGTTTGGCTCATGTGAATTTCGGCGAATGAATAAACGCCGGTCCACAGCTCTTTTAGTTGAATCCGATTTGGCTGACACGATGCACGTCGTCTGAACCAGGACTAAGATCACCTGGACCATAGTACCGTTCACTATTTTCTTTTAATATAACAAACATGATCTAAGACTGCTAAACAGTCTGTCAGTCAAACTAATTTCTATTGGTGGTTTAAGATAACATTGTTAATTACAATGGTCACTGTTAAGCTTAACCCTTTAATAGTTCAGTGTAGATGGTCACGTTCTTACAATAATCTTGCAATATTTTGAAGGTGCTCTGATAAAACAGATCGTAATCGTACAGAATGGGACCTCAATGGGTGCAGTCAAAATGCCGTCAATCAGGTATTACTTACTAGTTAAAACATGTTACACTGCCACCAAAATGCCGACAAACAGATTAAGATATTACAACTGTTACGAGTTAAACCATTTTAAACTGCGACCTCAATGCTGTCAAACAGTTTTTCCTGCTACCGTCATTTAGCTCCGTTTTCCTTGTGACAAGTTTTATACGTTCCTCTGGAAGCTTAACCTGTATTAGGCGGACATCTACAAAACCCTCCTTGTAAAGTTTTGTATTTTGTTTGTCCATTCTGGTTTGTGCGTTTGTATGTGGTCTTAATAGATGTGTTTTCTTAAATTACATGTACACGTTGCTTTTTGGTTTATCGGAGGGACTTGTACAAAGTCGTTTGCCCTTAAATACAGAATGAGCACTGAAGAAAGGTTTCACTATACGTAACGAGCCCGAAGGCCACGTGGCAAACAGCCTGTACATACTTGCGGGACTCGAAAAACTTCCGACCGTTAGTCCGGCAAGAGTAGATTTTCGTGCTGGGCAGGTAACTTTTAAAGCTCCTCACCTTCCAAGTGGGCAAAAATCGAGGCAGGTTATCCTTCCGCAACTAAATCATTCACTGAAACAATCAAGACTAACAGGCCCCGGGCATCTTAGCAAAACGCCGCCGGGAGAGTTGGCTGCTTAAAGACCTTAAAGGACGTGCTGTAAGTCAAGTTTTTTTCTTTAGTATGGCCCTTTCCTCGAGTATAATTTGTGTACTGTTGTTTTCATTTGTTTTTTGATATCAGCCGTCAGATGAGAGATGCGTGGCAGGTACGGAACGGCACGGTACGTTTCAGGCTGTATTAATAGCCGAGCAGGAGGTCTTTATGGGAGAATCTTGACCAAGGTTGCCAGTACAGAACGAACACAGTGAGGTCTGTACCAGCGACCGAGGTCAAGATTCTCCCATACAGACCGACCTAGCTCGTTAAGAAGATGTTTATTATATGGCCAAACAAGAAAGCAAAGGAACAAAACATTAATAATTTTATTTGCTTCCCTGCGCGGGCTCAAGCATTTAGCTGGCTTTCTTCTGTCACTGGTCTCCAGTCCAAACGGAAAAAAAATAACTGTTTAAAGTCCAGCTTTGTACAAACTTTGTACAAACAAGCCAATCTTTTCACATTCTTTGTTTGTAACTTTTTGAGGAGAACTGTTACAACAAGATCGGTTAAGATGCCGGTCTGGATGGGAAAAACTAAACCGCGGTCAAGATCGAATTCTTGAGTTTGTTTGTTTCCAGTCCTTTTGAGACATGCCCATATAATAATAAGTGATACAGTGCAGTCCTAATTTGTTTATGCAAGAAGTAAAATATAATTTGTAAGCCATTTCCTGACCAATATACTGATTATATCTAAAGCTTTCCTGGCAACGCAGTCTTGTGAGCTTTAATTTTGATAAAAAATTTGGTTTTCAGACTGTGTGAGTAACCTGCAGCTTAACCTTGGGTTCCATGCTGTGTGGGTAAACTGTGACTGACGTAATTGTTTTCATTATACTGTACTTTCCTTTCAGGCTGTGTTAATGCCACCTCATGTACAGAGTGTATGAAGCGGAAGCAAACAACAGAATTTGACTGTCAGTGGTGCCCGCAGATTAAAAGGTAGAAATTGTCTTTGGAAAGCTAAAATTGTTAAGTCAGAGCCGACTAAAAAGATGTTTCACCTGAAGAGAATACAGTCCCAGAGATTGACCGTGCAGACCATTTTTGTTTTATCGTGCATGGATGTGTCACTTCTCAAAACTATAGAAGAGTAAAGAAATGGATAGCAAGTATTTACTGGCAGCAGCAGGCATGTGCCGCAAGAGCATGACTGTCACGTAAACTTGGGTCATGGCCATGTATCCCTTGGAAAACTGCTTTTTGGCGGGAAACTGGCCCGGTTCAGAGGCTGTACTTCACATCTGCCGAATCGATTCAGACGCCGATCAACGCCGATCTTTATTTTCAACGAACAACGGGGAAAAACGTGCATTTTTGGTAAACTACATTACACGAATTTATGTTTGGCTCATGTGAATTTCGGCGAATGAATCAACGCCGGTCCACAGCTCTTTTAGTTGAATCCGATTTGGGTGACACGATGCACGTCGTCTGAACCAGGACTAAGATCACCTGGACCATAGTACCGTTCACTATTTTCTTTTAATATAACAAACATGATCTAAGACTGCTAAACAGTCTGTCAGTCAAACTAATTTCTATTGGTGGTTTAAGATAACATTGTTAATTACAATGGTCACTGTTAAGCTTAACCCTTTAATAGTCCAGTGTAGATGGTCACGTTCTTACAATAATCTTGCAATATTTTGAAGGTGCTCTGATAAAACAGATCGTAATCGTACAGAATGGGACCTCAATGGGTGCAGTCAAAATGCCGTCAATCAGGTATTACTTACTAGTTAAAACATGTTACACTGCCACCAAAATGCCGACAAACAGATTAAGATATTACAACTGTTACGAGTTAAACCATTTTAAACTGCGACCTCAATGCTGTCAAACAGTTTTTCCTGCTACCGTCATTTAGCTCCGTTTTCCTTGTGACAAGTTTTATACGTTCCTCTGGAAGCTTAACCTGTATTAGGCGGACATCTACAAAACCCTCCTTGTAAAGTTTTGTATTTTGTTTGTCCATTCTGGTTTGTGCGTTTGTATGTGGTCTTAATAGATGTGTTTTCTTAAATTACATGTACACGATGGTTTTTGGTTTATCGGAGGGACTTGTACAAAGTCGTTTGCCCTTAAATACAGAATGAGCACTGAAGAAAGGTTTCACTATACGTAACGAGCCCGAAGGCCACATGGCAAACAGCCTGTACATACTTGCGGGACTCGAAAAACTTCCGACCGTTAGTCCGGCAAGAGTAGATTTTCGTGCTAGCCAGGTAACTTTTAAAGCTCCTCACCTTCCAAGTGGGCAAAAATCCAGGCAGGTTATCCTTCCGCAACTAAATCATTCACTGAAACAATCAAGACTAACAGGCCCCGGGCAACTTAGCAAAATGCCGCCGGGAGAGTTGGCCGCTTAAAGACCTTAAAGGACGTGCTGTAAGTCAAGTTTTTTTCATTAATATGGCCCTTTCCTCGAGTATAATTTGTGTACTGTTGTTTTCATTTCTTTTTTGATATCAGCCATCAGATGAGAGATGCGTGGCAGGTACGGAACAAGAAAAGCAACAGCAAAAATCCAAGGGAGGTCTAGGAGCAAAAACACCCAAGGGAGGTGTAGGAGCTGGGGCCATTGTTGGCATCTGTATTGTGCTATTGTTGATCATTGGTATGGCAGCGTGGTGTGTGTATGCTTACCGCAATCCAACCACGAAATCAGGACTCTTCCTTATTGATGTAAGTGCCTCACGGCTGTTTGGTATCTGGTACGTAGTCAATTTTGACCTGAACCACAGCTCTGGATTGAGTCAGTTTTGTTTGTTCTCTTATTTTATCTTAGTGTGTATTCATTTGTTGTAATCATAATCTTTCGTCTACTCTCTAAGATATACATGCAGGTATAATTATATCTTGTGTTACATATTGCTTGTGATAGTTACCAACAATAGCAACTGAACAATAATGTGTTATTTCAGGCTACTCGGCGTCCAAGGGAGCTGTTCCACCGCAGTGCTGATGGAGCCAGTAAAGCAGCTCCTTCTGATGTTAAGCCGCAGGTGCTGTGAGGGAGGGAGCGGGGACGGACATACCTTCAGCCAAAAATAACTTTGATAATACAACGATTAGCAACCTAATAACGTAGCTTTCGGAAAGTGTTTTTTGTTTTGTTGTAGGTCTGTGCTCTTTATTCTTCTTCCGAGCCTCAGCCTTTATTTGTTTCATTTAGTTCCGCTTTGTTTCTCAGGCCAAATAAATTATTGTAATCCTAGTTGCTAAGCATGAATTCAAATGTTGTGTAGCGAGGGGTTCCCCTTTTCGTGATATAAAACCTGGCAAACTATCGCAGCTCTTCATCGCAAAAATAGATCAATGAAGAAGAAAATGAAGTTATCGTAGTTCAAGCCTCCATGTATTACGTATTTACCATTTACAATTTCGACTGCTACTGCAGCTTAAAGAGTGTTTTCACATGACGTAATGGCGGCCATACTGGTGTCCCAAAACAATGAAACGGCGGCCGCGTTGGTGTCCCAAACTAATCCTCTGGGAGTTGTACTCTTTTCGTATGCAAACGCTTTCTTTTCCAATAAATTTGTATAGATGCTGGCCACGTGAGTGAAAACACTATATAGAAATATTAACACATCAAGCTAAAGAATTTTTGTCTTTTTTCTTTTGATTTGCGGGCGGATGTGGCTTCATTTTCCTGAGCTGCTAGTATTTGCTTTGCTTTTACAACTGTAGTCGTTGTAGTAGTCGAACTTAAGTGTTCAAAACAACAGTAACAAAATTTTAAAGTGCTAAAAGGTATGACGACATTAACAAAGTTCAGCTTTATCACATGTGTTTTGCTGGATGATGACAGCAAGAGCCAGTCCTATAGACCTAGTCTATTTACGTTAAAAACCTTAACGTTAAAGAAGCGAAAGTACAGCTGAAAGTAAGCCTCTGCTAAGTTGTTAAATAATTTTGTAAATATTTAAAAGCCACGGCAATGTCGTGTTAACTTCTATTTAACGCGGAAATTTGATGTCCAAAGCAACGGACTGTGTGTTCTTTAGAAAGTAATTGTTATGATGGCGATGGTGATGATGATGGTGATGATGATGATGATGATAAAGCACCACAAGAAAGTAGCGCTCCATAGCACTTCAATTGAATCAAACTAAATGTATATAAGTTTTGCAACGTTTTTTATCCACATAAAATTAGTCACTGATTTTAACTACAGAAATAATATAGATCGTTATGATGTGTTGACACGTTAATAAATCCTGCTTCTCTATGCATTTGTTGTTGTTTTGATGCCAAGAAAGTCATTCATAGTCCAAACCAGAAGTCAATTCAGTCATGATGCTTCTTCCTAAAGCTCAGTAGTCAAAACGCCTGAACAAGTCATAAGAACTGATATTCACGTGTTACTCATGAAAATGATTATACAATCCCCTTAATACCTTACAATTCAAATCTTTGACTAAGTGACTAGCAGATGGGTATGGGTATATCTAAACCAGGGTTTTGCCGTAATTCTCATCCACGCTTACATTCGTTTCAAGCTTGACTACTATAACTCCCTTCGGTATGATATTCCCAAATTACAGCGTTTACGGAAAACGGGAGCTCACATTGTCACGTTAACAAGGAAATATGATTCTATTACCCCAATAATGTTGAAGCTATACTGGCTACCTGTACAATCCCACATTATTCTTAAAGCTAATTGTTATTGGTCTTAAAGCACGCAACCGCAAAGCACCTTATATTTCCAGTCTTCTGAGTCATCGAAGGTTCCCTTGGTCATTACGTTCCAGTGGCCAAGAACTGCTCACTGTGCCACTGGCTAATTAAACTTAAGACTTATGCAGACCGGGCGTTCAGCACTGCTGCGACAAGCCTATGGAATAACGTGCCTATCTCCATCAATAGCTATTTTTTAAAAACATTTGAAAAATTATCTTTTTAAAGAAGCCTACGACTTTTAACTATTATTTCTAGTACACGTATTTGCATGTTAGTTATCTGTAAATCTATCTTAGTATGTTTTTGGATTATAGATTTTTAACCTTTATTTCTTCTACATATATTTCTAAGCTTTGTAATTAATTTACCTCGGTATGTTTTTGGCTTTTAGTTTTAACGTTGGCATAATCATTGTAAAGCGCTATGAAAGAGTAGCTGAAACTAAGCGCGATATAAATTATTTATTACTGTTGTTTTGTATGGCGGGATTGGAGCCTCCTTTAGTGCATGCAGCATAGCTCGGTTGGTAAGGCTAGAAAGTCTACTCTCTTTGCTAGAAGTTGCGTCACTGCTTACTGAGCTTTAGGTCCGGCTGCCGCACGGAACTGATCAGGATGGATGTAACATGGTGGCAACTAGGGTAGATATTGGTTTAGTTGTGTAACTTCAGTTATGTCATTGTTATGAAAAAAAAAAGAATAAAAGCAGAGATTTCTGTTTTGCTTGTTTTAAAAGTTTTAAAAGCCTCCAGTCCCATTTATAATCTCATCGAGACTTGAATAAGAATGGTCAGGGGGTGGGGGTTAAGTAGTTTGTCACGAACAAGTGCAAACTTTTTACACAATTATGAAACTGTTGGCAGAATCTTCAATTATTTTTGACGACTTAGCTCTTTCATGGCAACTAATTACAACTTATGTTTACAATGAAGATCCAGTCAAGCATTAAACCTTATGTGAATAACTATGCAAATATCTAAAGGAAACAATCAAGGCATATCCAAAATTCGTGACTTTATAGAATCGGCTGAATCTCTTGGCCATGATCGATCTCAAGGTTTAAACATCCATTTGCACTATATTTTGTCCAACCTTTCCCCTATATGGTTCGCACAATCGAAGGCTTTCGACATCAGTTTGCTAGACTTGCAACAGCGTTAGCTATTTTAACTAGCACAAGCTGCCAAGGTAAGGACTCCCAATAATCATAACTTCTGTTATATTCCTTAATGCAAAACGGAGCTTTTTATATGGAGGTTGTTGCCAGTACAATAATAATAAAAGCCTCGTGACGAGGAAGTAATGAGATCAACTCAGTGGATATGTGCGAAATACCTCAGGTTAGAAGCTGTTGTATACCCTGAAAACTGAGGTCTGTCTAATGATAGTCTGTTTATTATACTGTGCTACTGGATGTAACATAAAACGTAGAAACCTTTATTTATTACACACATGCCCAAAGCATACAGTGAACAGGTCATGCAATGGACTTGTTCAACTAGCAATTGTCCTGGAAACTAAGCGATGTTTCGGAGAATGAGTTTATAGCATCGAAACAAACATATGCTGCGAAAACTGTAATATGAAACAAGTGTTTCGAAGTCTAGCCACATTGAAGAAACAATATTTCAAGTGAAAGTTTTCTGGCGAGTATTACAGATGAAAAGTCCTTCAACTTCGTCGTTTTCTGTGAGATTAATCAGCTTGTCACCTACTGTAATTTGGCTCGATCACTACCAACGAGGCTCAAGTCTAATTCTAACAATGTTTCAGGGGCACCCAACGAGAATTTAGTTCAAAATCACTTAAACATAGCATTGTTAAACGTATATTAGTGGAGTATAGGCATATTTTTATCCCCTAAAAATTTTTCCTCTGTTCGGATTTCCTAGCTGAAAGTGTAGAGATCCGAGAATTATAGGGATTAAAACTTACCTTTTCAAAAATTCCTGCCTGAAAAAAAAGGCTCCCGAAATTTCTAGGTGACCTTTCAAGGGTACAAAATCCGTTAAAAATGGGCAGTTATACAAATTTTTTAGATGTTCGAAAATCCTAGGAGAGGCAGGCAAGCAAGAAATTTTACAACAGATGTTCTGAAAATTCTAGATCTCAATTCGTCTTCCGAACAGATATATTGCGAAAATTGACGTTGACTGCCCCTGAATGTTTCTTCCCGTCAGAAAGATCAGGAAATGGACTTGGCGAAATAGTCTCTGACTTATTCACACCAATACAAATCAAACGTGCTGGCATCAGCAAGAGCCGGGAGAAGAGGGAAGAGGATCAGCTCATATTTATGAATAACACGATACAGGTGAGTTAAATCAAATCCATTCCTGACTCAATTTCCACATGGATGAAGAAGACAACATGATACACGACACAGTGACACACATCATTAAGTCTATTATTATTCCAATATTCGTAGAATAATCACAAGTACTACACGTCACAATTTAATCCTGATGGCTGGCAAATGTGGATCGATCTTAGGAGTAAAGATGGAAGCGTTTTTGATGAGCATTTGTCGTCAGCCAAACTCGCCGTCAAAGACATCAAACTGCCTTTTGAATTCCCATACTATGGTCATTTGGTAACAAATGCAACCATAACAAGCGGTGGTAAGTAGGTTTTAGGTGCAAGCTTGCCTAGTCCCTGGCCTTCTCTGTTAATGCAATTCGGTGACGTATCCAAGACAAACGACCAAAAACTCGCTCGGACCACGTTACCCGAAACGCATCGGCCTCTCGCGATAATGAGGCCTGGAGAATAGGCAAGGTGCAAGCTATACCGACCATCAATTACAGCTTAATGGCTTTTGTGTGTGTGTGTGTGTGTGTGTGTGTGCCCAGGTTGCACAAGGTGGAAATATGACCGTCGGCACTGTTGGTAACCGAATTATAAGGAGATGTGTTGGGCAAAAAAAACCCGATTATTTCTCTAACCTACAAATAAAAACGGCCAACGTCGCTTACGGTTTGTGCGTTTCTTCTTTCTTGTGTGTGATTCCTAAGATGACTTACGCCCACTGCCTTTTATGGGTTTTATTGTAAGCGGTTGGCTCTCTCCATAGATCTCTATTAATTAAGGATTATAACAGTATTAAACTGGTTGCTAGGGAACCACACCGGAATGAAGAAACACACCGTAAGTAAGGTTGGTCAATTTTATTCAAATCGTTTCACATTAGTAGGGTTCAAAAACAATCCTTTTCCTCATAAAAATGTTTATCCCAGGCCCCAATATCCCTTTTGGTTCGAATACCCATATAGTTTAAAATAATTTGAGCTTGGAACACCTGTGGTATGTGTGGATTGCGTGCAAATTTAATTTTCCGGTTTTTCCTCTTTTGCATCACATTCATACCCAGGTTTTTAAATTATCCGACGAAGAACACGGCCGCACTGCAGCCTTGTTGAGCATGAGTGCCGGGCTCGCCGGATGACCACAAAGAACAAGTGGCGGTACCGTCCATCTCCAGCTGGAAATCAAAATAAACTTCTCTTCCTATGACATATGAAGCACATTTTTAATGTCTCCAAAATTTTTCGTTTTAGGATTTATCAATTTGGGAGCATCAACAAAGCGCCAGATAGCAAATTTCCAATTTGTGGCCCCATTAATGGCGTTCTTTAATCCCTCACTTAATGACACAAGCACTGTGCATTACTTTGGTGATGGTGAGTATCTATCTACCCACATATCTTTGATTTTCTTTGAAAGTAGGTTACTAGACCTTACTACATTGTTCTATTTCAAAAGCAAGCTGTGCGTCAGTCTTTTCTGTGCAACAAAACTTGAAATACCAAAGCATCAACTTCCTTCAACTTATGACCCCAAAACTAAGCAGATCAAACCAGTACTGTATATAACGTATATGGCAATATACTATAGTATCAGTGACACCACTGAGTCAGTAAACTATACCGTATAGCCGATAGCATGACTGCAGCGTACTTACGCGTTCATTTTTATACACACTTGTATTTCGCGTATTTCTTCGGCTGAATTTGTTAAGCCTTGTGGTACACAGTTTCAGTAGCAGCCATACCTTGAAAATCAGGGCTCCCAATGAAAACCGTTGAAAACAGGAGAGTAAGCCTCCAGCCTCTTTCAAGCCCTCATGATACTCCAAAGAGAAGGCTAAATACAGGAACTGATACAGTAGCCGCGGTCTCCCCCTACAAGAAAGGAACACTACCTATAAGTATCTGATCA